TCAGTGTCTGTATTTTAGGAGTTTCAGAGAGACAGACCGACTGTGCGGATCCTGACTCAGACCCGGGTCGGTGACGGACAAGGTCAGATCGTACCGGCACCGACCGAGCTCTGGGCTCCGGGGCGGAGGTCACGGCTGCTCCGGGGAGGAGCGTGTCCGGACTGCGGAGCGGGCCGGAGTGGAGGGGCCGCCCTCCTCTCCTGTCGGCATGGAGCACCGGGACCGCCTCCTCCCTGTCGGCACGGAGTACCGGGACCGCCTCCTCCGCTGTCAGCACGGAGCAGCGGGACCGCCTCCTCCGCTGTCAGCACGGAGCAGCGGGACCGCCTCCTCCCCTGTCTGCACGGAGTACCGGGACCGCCTCCTCCCCTGTCAGCACGGAGTGCCGGGACCGCCTCCTCCCCTGTCGGCACGGAGTACCGGGACCGCCTCCTCCCCTGTCGGCATGGAGCAGCGGGACCGCCTCCTCCCCTGTCGGCACGGAGTACCGGGACCGCCTCCTCCCCTGTCGGCATGGAGTATACCGGGACCGCCCTCCTCCCCTGTCGGCACGGAGTACCGGGACCGCCTCCTCCCTGTCGGCACGGAGCGGGACCGCCTCCTCCCCTGTCGACACGGAGCAGCGGGACCGCCTCCTCCCCTGTCGACACGGAGCAGCGGGACCGCCTCCTCCCCTGTCGACACGGAGCAGCGGGAGTGGGACCACCTCCTCCCCTGTCGGCACGGAGCAGCGGCAGACCGGTGTGATGCAACAGGTCATGTCTGACACGCCCTTGTGGACAGGGGCGCGCCCAACTCAGCGTACTACGGCTGAATAAAGATGCCGCCGGGAGCCGTCACCCATTGACGTAGGCGGCAAACATCGCTTAGATACGTGAGTAGAATAAAGACGGTTCATTATAAAATAAGGGTGAATCTTGTCAGCATTAAATGTTCGTATATGTCCGTTCAAACGAGAAGAGCTCTCCATCGGCACAAATTTACGTCATCCCATCTCGAAAATGGCCAGTGTGTTGGCGCGCTCCGAAAAAGCATCACAGATTAGACCGAAGCGACGATTTCAAGTGCTGCCATTTGGGTACGGGGACCCGCAGTTGCTTCTGTACACGAACCCCAACTCTAGCCGTCTGTCCTGTCCAGTAACAACCGCTAACATTGATATCGACTGCCGGTCCCTGTACAAGAGCAGCTGAGGTTTTCTGTGCGTGCCCTCTGACAGCTTATCGTTGCTCCCTGTGAGGGTGCTGGAACAATTTACTCAGGGTCGCTGTATAGTAGCAACTGTGAGTCCCCGTACCAGCAGGACCTCTGTAGAGAGTCTCAAAAGCGGAGCTCCGTAAAGCAGTCTCTGTAACAAGCCCTTGTACTAGTGACTATAAGGGAGTCTCTCCTCTTATAACTAGTCTCGGCAGTAGCCCTCGGTAGCAAATCTCGGCAGTGACCGTGGTCCGACATTGGCGGCGGCCCAAACCGGTCTAAACGCTGGCGGCGGATTCCCCGATGCCGGGCCGCCGGAGCACCAAGGATGCTGCCGCTGGTGAGCGCCTGTGCCCGGCCGGCGGACACGCTACATACTACACTACCCTGCACCGGCTGGACAAGCGCCTCTGGCCAACCACTACACTGCCCTGCCGGCCGGCAGCGCTCAGAGGCGCCACGGAGGCGCGGCTGTGTGTCTAAAACGCTTCCTAAATTGCATGTTGAGCCAGATTCATGATAGCCAAGCAGGCGACTATTCTCATGGACTGGTAGGTATAGGGCAAACGATCCTCCCGATGGGCACAGCAGAATGATATCTACATTTGACGCAGAACATCGGTACGGGATTTGAGCACAGGTCACCATGTGACATGTTTTGAGCAGGCTTAAACCTACAAAGAACGATTGGAAAATTGCCGGACACGGTGACAGCTCTATAGCGGATAGCGGGCAGAGTCGGCCAACTGTGGGCACTATGTCCAGCCCAATATTTTAATGTCCTGCCACAGCCCCGATTATGCCCTCCAACGGCCAGTAAACAGCCTTCTCCCGGGGCGCTACACAGACGCTGGATGACGGGACAGCACGTACACTCAGTCCAGCGGCAGTCTCCAAGGTCGGCGGCAGGGAGTGGAGACGCGCGGAGCTGGCCCGGGACCACGGCAGACCGAGCGAGCGCCGATCGAGCGTGAACAACAGAGCCGTCCCTGGGGCATACCGGATGGGCCGAGCTGCACCAAAACAGTACCAAGAACCTTACTAGCTGCAATCTCTTGATGCGGTTTTAATTTCGGCGGAGATCACACTGATAGTGGCACAGTTTCTGAAATCAGTTTCTAATCCCGTAACTACTCTTACTTACCGACAAATTATGTGTTGCTCGATCGAATTACGTGCCATTTCATCTAGAGGCTCCAAATACGGAGCTGGCCCCCTGCTGTTGGTACAGCCCTGTGTTGCATATCGCATTTCCATCCCCTGGTTTGCCTGCTATAGGTGCTGGATTATGCACGCAAATGCAGTACGTCCGGCGATCGTGGGGCTGCAGGCGCATGTCATGTTTACATGACGGCTCGGACTGCCTTGGGTTCGGACTCACGGCTCCGGAGGTGAGGTGAGCGGACAGCGGTCGGTTGACGGCGGCACACTGCAGCGGAGGGTGACTGATCCGGCAGGACAGCCCGCCCTGGGACGGCCCCTGCACGGTCCGACACCGCTGCTCTCGGAATGGGGAGCGGTGACGGTGAGCGACCGCTCGCTCCGGCCCGCCCGCTGCCGGGACCATGGACAATACGTCGTGGACCACGGGTAGGTGACGCCGGACCGGGCCGGACCGGGCTGGGAGTGCAGGGCGAGCGGCCGCCTCACACCCGCGCCAGAGACGGTGCCCGGTGATGGGCCCTCCGCCGGCAGACAATGCCAGGAAGCGGAAGGAGCCGACAGGAGAGCGGTGAGCGGAGGTGCGCAGCCGACTGGAGCCGGCCGGCACGCGACGAACTCTTTAACACGGAACCCAACTGACGCACCATCGGGGGTATAAAGTATAAGCCGACCAATAACCCGGGAAATGAGACTGACTGAGACTGTTCAAATTGTTTTGACACCGACACCTTTCTCAGCGCTCTGACACATGACATAACGTCCACACTGGTCTAACAGTTAACACTCATGACACTCCTCAACCACGGCTTTGACTGACACGTCGTCCCCACATGACACATTTGACCGAACACACGCCACTCCCCACATCTGACCGAACATACCACTCCCCAGCACAGACATCTGACCACTTAACCGCAGGAATGTTGGTCTGATTGCCATTCAATGACCTTCCGTGACCGACTCAGACCGGCGCCTCTACATTTCCCCGAGGGTAGGAACAAGATACCAGCATAGCGGACTTGCGTGATACCTATAGAGGAATGCCCGTTCGATGGCTGAGGGTGGCTTTTCCATCATCAGCAGCGACTACGGAACTTTCTCTGAGAGACGCTGTGGCCAAATGACTCGCGGTGTTGGAATGTGGGAACAGACTACATATATCGCCACCGCTCATTACGCTCGCTTCCCACCGCTCGCAGCTGCAGACACACCTGTCATTGACCGCGCGCCTGTCGATCAGCGCAGCAAACAAATAATGACCGTATGGTGAAAACACACAGTTCACATGCTCTCCTAAAGATTGAAAGGAAACCTAGCGAGGAATAGGCGCATGCGATTTACTGGCAAATTGTTTCCAGCTCTCCACCGAAACGTTCCGATCGACAGAATATGGTCAAGGACCATGGTGCGAAACGCTCTGATGCAAATCGGGGCCGGGGTTAGTTTGGGGTGCCACAGGTCATGGTAGAAGTGTGTGGTTCAGGTCGGGATAGGAAGTAGGAACGGACGTAACGAGCTCAGGTAAGGGCAAGGATGAATGAAATGAGTGCGGGGCAGGGCGGAGCAAAATGGTCAATGGTCAGGCATGGATATGGTAGACGCGCGAGGTCATGGTCAGGTCAGGTCCGGAATGCGAAGGACGGGCATAAATGAACGGAACAATGCCAGTTCAGGCTCACTCGAGGTGATTTTAAATGAGGCGGACACGACAGGACCGGGACGAACACGGGACAGAAGATACCCTGAGGGGCGAGTCGCGACCACGGCCGCCGCTAGGACAGGTTCCGACCGTAACTGGCGGGTCACGGTCGCTCCCGCCCCTCCCAACATAGACCGGTCCTTATCGATCAGACCCCTCCCATCTCACACGCATATCACCTGGACAGTGTCACCCGTCCTAACATCTATAAGTCAGATAGTCAGATACACGGTATAACACACGAAATCGCCGATATTGGCTCTCAAACAGCCGAGTCAGGCAGTCTGGCAGTCCGGACCGTTTAAACACTGATTTCATTATTGACACGCCCACTCAACAAAGATACGAGAAGGTATACATACTGCATATCTTATCAGGGCAGACATAACTCCACAAAGATTGAATGTAGCGACTTTTTACGACGTCCGTACTTATCATTCAGGGCCAATACGACGCAACTCTGGCCGTATAATGAGACGATTATCGACATTCCAGCGTTGCGCCAGAGTCGTCTGACCACCGCCGCACCTTTTGTTTCGATCGTGCTGAGACACACAGACCACAAATGACGTGACAGCACATCCCTTATCCTATGGGGCCGGATGCATGTCACTGCTTATCCCTCGTTTCAAGGGGCTGGTACGATGTCACATCTTACCCCTCGTCCTACGGGGTCGTGTATGATGACACAGCCTACCCCGGCATTGCACAGGGAGCCGGGTATGACGTCACAGCTTATCCCTCATCCCACGGGGTCGGGTATGACTTATTGACTTCACAGTCAATCCCGATCCGACGGATGTCGGGTATGATGCCGCAGTTTATCCCCTATCCCACGTGGACCAGCTCTCACCTCGCATCTTATCCCCTATCCCAAGGGCCGAGTATGCTGTCACGGCTTATCCCCTATCCCACGGGGTCAGAGTATGACGTCACCCACCTGACGTCGGCGGCGCTCCTGTCGGCCCTGGGGGGCGGCCGGCCACCGCCGCCGCCTCCGCCGCTGCCACAGACCAGCGTCGTTCCACCTCCCATCGCTGCGGTGCCTGGCGACTGACTGACGCGGCGGCGCGGCCCGGCAGGCCACCGACCGAGACGGGCGGGCGGGCGGGCGGCCGGCCGCGGCGCTCCGGGGCATGGCTGACGGCCGGCCGGGTCAGTGCGGGTCAGTGGGAGGGACAGAGGTATACCCCGGTCAGGAGAGGGGAGGGGTTAGCTGCGGTGATTACGGGTCTCCCAGCAGCGGTAATGGGCCGAGGTGTTGAAGGGGTGAGATGGGGCGGTCTGCGGTGACCGAGAGCAGAAACAGTCATTATCCAGGCAGGAATAAGAGGACCACCCCGCAGTCAGCACGGTCATCCCGTCACCGCAGTCCTACTCTAATAAGGTGTTATTGTGGATGCGGCCAATGTAATTCGGGTTGAATGCTTAACCCCCAGCGGTGCCAGCTTCGTAAAATTATTTACTTCGTCACAAGTCGCAGCATCGAGGATTGTGACTGGTGCATACCAGCCATTCAGCACGGCATAATATGCCCGCCGATGTGGCATTCTAGACCACATGCAAACGATGACAGTGGTTGGCTAGAGCAGGCTAGAAATAAACGCCGGCCATGAACCCTAGGAATCATCGTCACGACACCATTCGCAGTTGTCGCTCCACCGTCGTAAACAAACTTTCTTACAGACAGCACGACAGGTGAATGTAAGTGGAATGCTCACCGCTGGAATTTTTGAAACAGTTCGCCGGTCGTCTGTCCTGTCTGGTCATGCTTTCCACAACGAACAAAAAATGCGCCGTTGTTTGCCGTCATTGAAGCCTACGCGTGTTGCTTGTTGAAGCCTATTGCGATACATTTTTAGATCGCAAATTACGTCATTTGCGATATAAAAGATACAGACAAGTCAAATAACGCGGCTCCTAGTTCGCATGCCGTGCAAAACCTCACTCCTTCTGGAATCCATATAACGAAGGCATGAACATTTTGGCTAATAATAATAGCGGCAGAACAAATCGTTCACAAACACGAATCGTCCTGTAACAGCTGAAAATAACATATCCTAAAAGGTCAACATACCTACCAGTTCGCCTCGATTTCCGCGTTCCAGGTGAAAGCAACGAAATTCGCGTGCAACATTTTCTATCATGGATGATACCGTTTCCGAGACAATTGATGCTTATTTCCGAAACATTTCATCAGCAAACGTGAAACACAACGTGGGATGATCCGGTCCTTTATTGAGAAATGTACAATGATGTGTGACCTGTCCCCCCTCCCCCTCCCCACTGCTCCCGGCTAAACGTGGCAAATCTTATAGCCAACGGCCGGCCGGGAGTCAGGCTCGCGACATGACCAGGAACGATGCGAACACAGCGACGCCAATGGCTTCGTACAATGAACTGGAACGGGGCTACAGCGCTCGCGCGGCACCCTTTCACTCACACACTGCTTACACTCACAACACCAAGAGGCGCTCAGCCGATCGGGGACCGCCTGCGTGCACCGAGTCGCCGGCACACTCGCCTGGCACCGGGCGGGCCAGCTCCAGGCCCGGCCGAGCGAGCTCCAGGCCCGGCCGAGTGAACTCCAGGCCCGGCCGAGCTAACAGAGTCCACCTGAGCCAACTCAGCGCTCACTCAAAACTCATGTCCCGGCTGAGATAACTCAATGCCTGGCCTTTCTACTCGGCCTGAGCAGCACTCAGCGGCAACTCAAAACTCTTGTACCGGCCGAGCTGGCTCAAAGCCCGGCCAATCTAGCTCATAGCTCTTCCGTTTGTCTGTGGGGCCGTAATAACAGGCACGGCCTCTCCCCACACTGTCCGTGGGTGGGGACTACTGCTCGGCAGGTTCGGCCGACTCTTTCTCCTCAGCAGCGCTGGGCTCCTCAGTCTCAGCGGCCTCCTGGCGACAGGACGGCAACGGTCAGCACATGGGGCAGGCGCGGTCTGGGCATAGAACGGCAACGCTCAGAAGTCGGGTTACAGGACGGTGACGGTCAAAACATAGGGCGGTCGCGGTCAGAGGATACTGACGATCGGAGCATAGGGCGGCCGCCGTAAGCACACATAGGACGGTCACAGTCAGATCATAGGGCGGTGATAGCACATAGGGCGGCGACTGTCCGTACATAGGGCGGTTGCCACAGAGCGTTAGAGTGAGGGGCAGACGGAAGGACACCGTGTGGACATTAGATGGGGATTGCTGAGCGATAAGCGACATGAGACAAATCGCACGAGGAAGGGAATGCGTAGGCCAGAACAGCAGCGCATGGCACCGCATTACAGCAATCAAAACACAACTAAATTTATCACTGAGCACGTCACATACGAAAATCCCCGGAGCCCATCAAGCCCATTAACTACCTTCCTGAAGGCCCGTCGCTAGGACTAACAAAAGCTCAATACCAAAGCTCCCACTCCCCCCCCCCCCCGAAACAAAAGAAAAAGAAAAAAGAAGCCCTAAGAGCATAAAACAAAATATGTAGGTAGGTAAGTAATCGTGTAAATAATCAACATAACATGGATAATCAGCAATTGATCAATTTCAAAGTCAACGAAACGCCTAAATAAATGTGTACCCCGCTTTCACTGCCCGGTTAGCTGCGAAACTAGACACGCTACTTGGGTGCCGTGTGACGAGCGTGCCTTGCCTATTCGCCATGAGCAGGAGCAACAACGATCGTACGGAGTGAGAAAACACACCCAATGCGAGCTCACGGACTGGGAAAATACGCCCAGGGGCACACTGAATGGTAAAATACGCCAATGACTGGGAAAACACCCCCAGGGTACACGAACTGGGAAAACACCCCCAGGGTACACGAACTGGGAAAACACGCCTCAGGGGTGCACGGGATGGTCCAGCACGGACGGCCGGCCCAGCCCAGCGGTTCACAGCTCGGCGATCGGAGCCGGGACCGGCACGGAATCGCCGCTCAGTGCAGGCGGAGTTCAGTTACTGACAAGCTAGTGTTCCCGGCATGGCGGTCATTCCAGCAGGGTCCGGTATGGTGTATCCAAACCAAGCTATGGAGAACTGATTTCCGTCATCGGTCTGCATTGGCGGACCTCTCGACTAATTACAGACACGACACTTAGAATTTGCGTAGATCTGCCAAACACACTGACACATTGCAGGGATTGACACAGCTAAATTAAACACATCGACACATTGAAACACCGACACACCGCAGGAAATGACAACCCCCCCCCCAAACACACCACAGCCACTGACACAGATCCAGCAGACACACTGACCCACCAGACAAACTGACATTCAGTACCCCTCCCCGTACCAGCTCCCCGTACCCCTCCGCCCCCGGCCCTCACTTTGGCGGCCGGCTCCTCAGAGGGCTCCGTCTCGGCCGTCTCCATGTCTCCCTCCGCCGTCTCCGTCTCCGTCCGCGCGGGCGTCTCCTCGGCGGCCGTCTCAGCAGCGGGGGTGTCTCCGCCGGCCGTCGGCTCCGGCTCAGCCTCGCCGGCCGCCTTCTGGGGACTGCCGCCCTCCGTGCTGGCTTCTGGAGATAGAGTGGGGACGAGCAACGGTCAGAGGCGAGTGTGTCCCGCGGTGTATCTACAGTGTTATACCGTAGTGCAAAGTACCGCAGCTGATAAACCTGAACATATTATCCAGGAGTATCAATACCAGCCTTGAAACGTTATTATGACATTCGACAGTCGACACCTTTTACTTTAAAATGAAGTATCAGATGACTAAAATATGCTAAAGCAAATACTATAATAGGGGAGGGGATAAGACAGACGATCAATAACGGAGCCTATACAGGTCATTGTAGGTCAAGTCGCGCATTTTTGCGAGCACGGTATCGAGCATTGATGGAAACATCAGCTTATGAATGATTCACAAAATCTGCGATGTTCTGATAAAAAGAAGATAAAACCTCCAAGTGATGCGCAGCTCGGACATATGACCTCATTGAACGCAGTGCTCAATTCATGGTCTTAATATACATCGCTGCTCGGCTCGAATTACTGGTTATCAATGGTAGCCATCAACTGATCGACAGCGCTCGTCAATGTTTACTCTGTAGTCTACACACCCAGGCCAACGAGGGTGACCCCCCCTTCCCCCCACCATCACCACATCACCACACACTCATACAAACCCCTCACTGTAGTAGGCCAATGGTTTGATATATTATCCCCAGCGGCGTTACCGCCATATAAGGAGCCAGGGAATCCACTCCGCCGTTACCGTCACAGCAGCCGGACAAACTGCAGTGTCTGTACGCCAAACACAGCCGGACGTAGACCACCTGGGACCCCTCGCGGTCCCGTAAACAGCCCGGCGCCGGCTGTAGCCTGTCACACGCCCGGGCTGTACTGCAACATTTCCGTCTACTGGCGCCCACTCGGCGCCGGAGGCCTCCCAGCAGCGCACGAGACGTACGACCGACTGCGCCGCCCCGTAAACACGTCTGAGGTGGACTGATAGCCACGGCGGCAGGGGCATTCCACGTCAAATCGAACAAAAATCGGCTGTTTTGCACCTTACCATCAGCGATTTCATTATAAATTTGTGAGCGCGTTCCTGTGTGGCCCCGGACATTACATTGATGTTTTTTGCACATTCTGACCACAGGTCCTCTAAATATAGGGCATCAAATTTTTACAAAATGTTGCATCTTTATATTTTTGAACGACCATAACTTTGGTTGTACTTGTTTGATTTGAATGAAATAAACCTTACTGTTTAGGTAATTTCTTAAGCATTTGTTTAGAATTGCACCTACTTAAATATATGACCTTGAAATTTGCTTAACTCTGTTCTTAAGCACAAATATTGAAATAGCAAAAAACACGTCACCTTCGATTTGGCTCATTTTCATATATTTTATTGCCTACCATATTCTTAACAACCTGTGAAAAAATTAGAGTGGGCCATTCATAAGTTTTGAAGAAAATTGCACATATGCAAACGTATGTTAGCACGCGCAGTGGAGGGGGAAGAGCGAATTTCGCCCACCCGTCCTATTTTTCGCCAATATCTCATAAGATTAATGCGAAATTAATTATGGCTACCTGTCAAGAATTGAATTGGACATCTCATCGTGCAAGCAATAAGAAAATCGGTTCACAACTGTTCTAGTAATAGCGGTGTAAAGTGAACATCCTGTCGCCGCAGCGACGCGGCGACTCGGCAGCCGGCGCCGACCGCTACGCGCCGCCTGAATTGTAGACTGTGCCGGGACGGAACGGAACGGTTCCGTCTTTACATCGCGCTCCCTACCGCTGATTACGTTCGATTCGCGTCAAATTTTGTGAGAAGACTAAGAATTGTACAGGCAATCTTATGGTGAAAGAATTTTGAAAATCGTTGGGTAAACAATTGAAATATGAACGTGTAAACACAAAATTGTGATTGCTGCGTTTCCCGCATCGGCCGAGCCCGCCTCAGCCGGCGACATGTTACTCTTAGCAGGCCTCTAACTGCCATATTTATTATTGGATTAACTAGAAACTCCCCATACATACTAAAAAAAATGTATGTTCTTTCGTATCGTGAAGATCAAAAGACGTGAAGATATCGTTGCGTGATAATGTTTTCGTTGAATTTACATCATGATGCATTTCCACACGGCTCAAAATTCACCGCAAAATACCGTTTGCCTGAGACACTTTTACTATGGAACGTGAATGCTTGACTACGATGACTATGCATTTCCATTCTCGCAGAGTTTAGGATATCACTAATCAGCAATCATTCATTTCAGAAAGTGTACACAAGCAAGCATGTCTTGACTCTGTCTTTCAAGGTCACGCGCGGTTGCGTGATGTTGTTGCATGAAAACGGCGTTTGCCGCGAAAGTTATGAATGGCCCACTCCATTTTTTTCACAGATGGTTAGGAACATTGTGACGGACATAATATGTAAAAATTAACCAAATCGAAGGTGACGTGTTTTTTCCTATTTAAATTTTTCTGTTTTAATTCAAGGTCAAATGCATTTCAAGGTCACTTCAATTTAATTTTATAATTAAAAATCAAAGCCTTATCAATTGCCTATAAGACCCTGTTAATATCATTTTGATACCAGAAAAGGAACCAGAGTTATAGCCATTTAAAAAAATTGATGTGTGGCATTTTTCGCTATATTCGATGACCTATATCTCAGCGATACGTTATCAAATTTCGAAAATATTATACGTTACTCAGTTTTGAACCATGCCCAGTCTGCCTACAAATTTTGAGAAAAATCGAAGGGGATGACGGATTTCGGTGTTTGATTTGGCGTGGAATGCCCCGGCAGGGATCGGCGGGCTCTGAGACGCTGTTCAGCGTGGACCCGCTGCACGGTCTTGCCGAATACCAGATTAGCGCGAATTTAATCAAAAACCCGACTTTCGATAAACTGTTATTTATACCTATCAGTGGGTAGGAAATTGTCTGAAGTTATCTGATAGAACCTTATTTTTAAGCCACTTTACCATTTGAGGACTTATATCCCTGCCGAAAGTAGACCCACGCTCCGGTTCCTAAAATCGGGCTATGGTACTGATAAATATGTCCAGTTTTCAACGTAAATTTTACGGAAGTTTCGAGAAGATATATGAGAAAATAGCATATCACCGGATAGCACAATTCATGATGAAGCTGTTTCTGCTATCATGGTATCTTTTCAATGAATGGTTTTTGAGTTTAATGAGTTAGAACAAGAGCCCTGCATGTGTATCGTTCTCACGATAGTATTTAATAAAGAAGTTGAAAAATGTCAAAATGGATAAAAATGGATATGACGAATAGGGCATGGCTGAACTCTCCGCACCTTTCTGAACATGAGCGAGCAAGTTTCAGCTGCCAGTTTTTGCCTATTTGCCGTCAACTCAGCTTTGAACATGTCTAGTCGGCCGCCCTATGTGACCTGACCAAGGTCGGGGGCGGCGCGGCCGGACAGGCTCCAGCCTAATAAACTATCTCAAGCACACGAAATCGTGATTTCATGCACTCCTTGCAAGGTCCGATGCTTCACCTATGCATTGTTGGTCTTACGTGACGTCATTTATGACGTCACTAGGGTAATAAGAGTTTTTCGTCAATAACTCCCGATTAAATTGAGCTAGCGAGTCGAGAAAGCCACCAATGGACTCAGGAAGACTTGCTGAATCGAATGATATGCAACATGACCTCCTTCAACCAACTTCGTGATCTGGAGGACTCTGACCTGACCTTGACCCACGGTCAACACCTGAAGTTAACTTCAGCCGAACAAAAAGTATACCATTCGACACGCCTGAGTGAGGCGAACATGATGATACCAAAATTGCGGCTCTGCGGCATTTTTTCGCGAAGTTATTAATAAAAAATGAATCCGCACCTGGGTCACTTGACCTGACCTCAGAGGTCACAGGTTGGCCTAAGACCTTAAAATCGGGTACCAGTCGCTGCGTCTCGTAACGGCGCACACGCTCGTTTTTTCCGCGGGGCTCTACCTCCATCAGGGGCGAAACAGCGACGGGGGTCGTACCAACCCCCCCACCCCTTCGGCCGGCGCGTATTTTGAAAACCAATAAGTCCGGCGAGGGGTAAGTGTCAGTTTTGGAACCAGAGAACCATTTTCAGTGGATCCGAGCAGCGCTGGGATTAAATTCGCGCTAAACTGGTGTTCGGCCACACTGTGCGCTGGTCCGGCCTGGATGACAGTGTCCGCATCGGAAGGCGAGTGCTCAAAGTAGTCCCAACCGACCCCAACTGACCTGCGGCGGGCGCCGGCTCCTCGGCGACAGCCGGCGGCTCGTCTTTGGTCTCGTCCTCCGTCTTGGCGGCTCCGTCCTTCTCCTTCTGAGCGTCCAGCGGGTCGCCGGCCTTGTCCTTGTCCTTGCGCTGGCTGTCGGCCGGGCCCGTGCCGTTTGTCTGTTTGTCCTTCTCGGCGACTCCGTTGGTCTTTGGCGGTGCCGGCGGCCAGTTCTCGTCCTCCGAGTCGCTGCTTTCCTCGCCCGGTCGCTGGACTGTCGGAGGTACAGGCGATACAATGTCAGCGGTACAGACACGGGTCAGCAGTTCAACACTGGACTGTCGGAGGTACAGGCGATACAAATGTGAGCGGTACAGACACGGGTCAGCAGTGCAACACTGGACTGTCGGCGGTACAGGCAATACAAACGTCAGCCGTACAGAAACGGATTAGCGCCGCACTGTCAGCGGTACAAACACGGGTGCACTGCACTATCAGCGGTACGGACACGGGTCAGCGCTGAACGTCCTCAGCACAGACACGGGTAAGCGGTACTGACAGAGGTTTAGACAAAGGCCAGCTGTACGGAGGCCAGCGGTACAGACAATACAATGGACTGCCAGTGCTAACAAACAAGTGGTCAGCGGCATAGGGCTGAGTTGGACTATCAGCAGTCGAAGTGCTGTACGGTAGGGTACGTGCTGTCACAAGAGACGGCACATATCAGACGATCGTGGTGCAATCAGGGTATGTAATTATGTAATAGTGTATGCATCAGAGTGAGTGTAGTGTACCGTCATCCTAACTGACACGGCGCCTTGGACCCTAAACGAAGCGTGCACGGAAGGAACCTTTTAGACTTCGTTTTCTAACGTATTGACGAATTATCAATAGAAACAAAAATTTCAGATACTTGGGCCATTGAGTAACGTCGGTTTATTTACCAAGTATTAAAATTTAACGGATAGTTACCATGACATTTCACCCTGACTGGGCGAGGGATTCGAGAACCTTACGGGAAATCATTGAATTCTGTCACAATGGCTTGCCGTCAGCCGTTAGATTATAGATAACCGAACGAAAGAAACCTTTGATACACTTGCATGTTTGGTCTACCACTAAACACTAAATATTGGGCTGAACTTGAACATGGGAAATTCTGAGACCTCCAAGCACAGCTAAGCTAGGTGCCATTTCGTGCCGGGCCAAATCCACTCCAAAGTTCCGTTTCTGAGAAGCCGTCAGAATGTTGTGTTGTCTGCTCTGGAGTCGGCAGCTCCGGCTAATTCCGGCTCAGCGCGTGCCACGGGCTCCGTCTGGGGCGGCACGGCAGCCGTCCGTCAGCCCAGCTGCCGTGCTCGGCGTCCGTCTTTCCTCAAACTGAACAAACTGAACAACTCGGACTCGCGTGCCTTCAGAGAAACTGGGCGGCGCAAGCGGCAGAGGGAAATACTGGAGCGGTTCGGGCCGGGCCGCCGGATACTTTGTCTCACGACAGAGACAGAAACGGGAGCAAAGTTGTCTGAGGGGTCCGGAGAATGGGGGGGGGACCAGTATCGGATGGTGTTCGATCAGTTTCACCGGCAGAACAGATCGCGGAGAGAATGCAAAGTAAAGAGACGAAGGGCAGGCTGCCCCTAGAGCACTCCGGTCAGAGTTTTATTTACACATCGAGCCGCAATTCGTCGGGCGTGAGAGGGGCTTCGGCTGAGGACGTGGCCGGGTTAGTTTTACCCACGGAATGGACCACGGAACGTGGAATAAAAGGACGGGGGTCTGTGTACGCGCTGTGCCGCTGCAGTAACTTAGTCTTAACCCGCGCCCCGTAGGGGGGGGGGGGCCGAAACGGCCCCCCCTGTCCTTTTCCGTCGATATCTCCTAAACGGCTAGAGATATCGCCACCAAACTTTCAGGACCCCTCCGGGCATCAATTTTACACATTGTGACAAAAAAAATTCTAGAGGCTATAATAGGTTGGCCACAAATGACGTCAGAATGACGTCATGTTCTGCCATTTTCGACCGAAAAAAGACCTTCGCGAGAAGAGCTGTCAGGCCTACAGCTTTGAAGATACAGAAAAATGATCAGGCAAAAAAGGTGTAGAATTGACAGGGCTACAAATCTGCTATCTCGGATTTTTTAAATTTTTGAGTTTTGACCCCCAAAAGTCAAAAATGCGATTTTTTTGATATATTAGCCAAAAAATCCAAAAAGTTTTGTGAGTTTCGAAAAACCGGAATATATGTGATAGTACCCACTGTCTTCTATCTACATACCAAATTTCAGATCGATATCTCGTTTTTTTTGGCCAAGTTATAGCGAAAAAACTGTTCAAAAATGATGACGTCAAATTTTCAAACTCATTTTTTGGCAATTCTAGACCACGTAGGGCAAAACAAAGACCACCATTGGACTCCCCGTGACGAGCTGCATCGAATCGATACCCATTTTATGCAAAAACATCAACTTTGAAATTTGACCTAATATGACCTGACCTTGACCTGACCTTCACCAAAACGTGACCTAAGCTGGCCCCAAAGGCTGCCTGACCCACATAATCGCATTTGTCATGTAAAATGGACCATAAAACATGTATCACATGACACTTCCATATTGTGACCCCCAGTGACCTGACCTCTGTGACCTGACCTGATATCAGTGACCTCAGATAGCGAAGTATGTGTTTGACGAACAATGTACCATCGATGGTTTTCAATAACGTACAAATTTACTCGATTTCACAACACATTTCTTGAAATGCCTGTGAACGGTGAAAATCCGACCTTTGACCTGACCTGTGACGTCATCGGTTTGACCTAGGTCAATGAAATTTGGTCACAAGGTAGTTCCCGGATGGGGCTATCGAACGCCGTTTGAATTTTGAAAATCGGCCGGTAAATTTCCGAGATCTTAGGGGGGGGGGGCGAAACGGCCCCCCCCCCTACGGGTGGTAGGGTCCGCCGGTAGCCCTACGGGGCGCGGGTTAAGGCTGAAACAGACTCTTTCCGCGTTCAGGAAATCGCATGCGAGAGCCTATTCAAATACATTATAATTTTTCCGCATCAATCGCATCCGGGAGGTGCGTGCGATTGATGCGAGCGTGCTTCCATGCATTTGAATAGGCTCTCGCATGCGATTTCCTGACTGCGGAAAGAGTATGTTTCAGGCATTACTCGCAGAGTTGGAAGTTGGACGCAGACCGGGGGGGGGGGACCGCCAGCGCAGTCCAGTCAGTGTTACTTACAGAGCGGATCGCGGACCATGCGCACCACCTTGTCCTCCGGCATTTCCTCCGTCACCTTGCGGAACATGGCCAGCTGCTCGTCAAAGTACTCCCGGAACATCTTGCCCTTCGGCACGACAAACATTTTCTGTGGAACAAAGACGAATCACGTCAGAGGGCGCGGTGGGTGGTAGCCGGATAAAGAAGCGATGCAGGTAGCTCAACAAGACACGGCACATTTAGCAGCACTACACAGTACAAAGCGAACATGAATCAACGGATCGCTGAAGGACGCCAGAGGTCGCCACGGTCGAACGAACAAAACACGTCCCATGTCTTTCACCCTTCTCGTACATTCAAGCCCACCCACTCCAGTCCTGTGCCTATTCACCTTGAAGCGCTGGTAGCACTTGTCGGCGAGTTCCCTGATCTCGGCCGAGCCGGTGTACTTGCGGCACTTGCGAACCGTCTCCACGATCTCCGGGTTCTTCTTCAACATGAGCGGCGCCATGTTCATCTGATGGCGCACACAGGCCAGACAGGGCATGTCAGGACGGGCTGAGTCAAACAAAATAGCTCAAAGCGTGTGTTGGCAGCCTTCAGAATACGTCAAAGACGTTGCAGAAAATGTCACCTTATGCGTAACACAAAAATAACCCAGAAAGAACCATCGATAAAAAGACCACGTATATACCTACTTCCCAGGCGGATCTATGACATAGTTTCACCGAGTCAACAGTCTGAGTCCACACTATGGTTTTATCGACCCTCTACAAAAAAAATCAGCTAGCCTACACGCACAATCATCTGAGGCAGTATGGCATGACTCACCACGGAGAGCTCTTTGAACACCTCGATGCACTTATCGTGATTCTGTTCGTCGATGATGAGGTTCAGCTTGATGTGGTAGTCCATCTCGATCATACGCGCCTCGTCTCTCAGCCACCTGGCGGACGATACGGACAGTTCAGAATACCGCCCTATCTCCTTGGGTGCTCACATTAGGGTTCTCTGGTTATTAATTAGGGGTAAAGCAGCTGCTGCTATGTTTTCTGGTCACAGTTCAATAAGCAGGTTTTAAAATAGGAACCGTTACGGCCACTGTTGATTGAAGTCACAACTTTAACTGAAGTTGCTTCTCTAGTCATAGTTCCGGCTAAATATTCTGAGGTCACATCACTACCAACAAAGAATCAGGAATCATCAGCCTGCCCTGGAGGTTCAGTAATTCAGGCTAACCACAATACCGCCTGGCTACTAAAAACTCAGGCGATGCGCAATAGATCGTCACAAGCAAATTACCTCAACATAAGAAGGCAATATATCCAGGAGCACCCACCACCCTTGTCCCTCACTCACCAGAGTTTGCTTTTGCGCATCTCGGCCTTTTTGTCGTTCTTCAGCTTGTCCTTGAGCTCGTCGGCGACGTCGGCGCGCGCGAGCAGCTTCTCGCGGAGGCGGTCCGGGATGTACTCGCCCTGCTCGAGCTGGTGCCGCAGTCGGGCCAGGTTGATGGCCGTGGCCGTGTCCCACATGATGCGCGCCTTCTCCGACTGGTGGTACAGACAGGGAGCACGGGGGTTAGGAGGCTGTAGAGCGGGCTTCATAATACACAGGGCGGGGTGCACATACCAAAAGTAGGAGACTGATAAATATACTTTTTTACATAAGCGTCGAAAAGCCTGGTGGAATTTAAATGTTGCATATACCGGGTGGCCCAGAAAAAACGTTCCCAACTTTAAATCAATATTTCTCAGAAAGTGATAAAGATACAACATTGAAGCTTCGAATAGTCAATGCGGCACATATTTTCATTCGCGTGCTCTATTTCTTATTCTTTTTTATAACATGGGACGTCTAACCCAATCATCACTATCATTTGACATCGGCAAAAAAAGCAAAAACGTCTTGTTTGATTCAACTCAAGATTGCCAGCTTGAAAATGATGGTATAGTGTTATAATTTGGCGAACCAATTCGCAAAGAAATGACGCAAACTTGATGAACATTTTGGCTCGTTATTTGTACTCGAATTTGATATATAGGCCTCCAAAGTTCGGAACGTTTTTTCTGGGCCACCCGGTATTTTCCATTGGCATATCGAATTATAAGCTCTTTTATTGAACTATAAATGTAATTAATTCATGTAGCATCGCAGCAAGCTTAGAAGTTAGAACTTTGAAGCTCAGTACACAAGACGTCAGGATGTAAGACAAGACTCCAACCCTTGTTCCTACGTCCCGCAGACCTCCAATATCGTCTAATAATAACCAACAACCCGGACCATCCCGGCGCGCTCCTCCGTCCGCCACCTACCTTGAACTCCTTGGGCCGCTCCTTGTCGGAGATGTCGATCTCGAGCATCTCGCCGCACTTGGCCTTGACGTACATCACCTTCCTGCCGTCGTCCGTGTCCTGAACGGAGGCCGAGTCGGCCACGCGCACAATGTCCTCCGTCTCGTGGGCCGGGTACGGCTTGTAGCGCACGTCACGGCGCTCCACTGGTGGCGGACGGGGCAGAGGTGACGTTAGGTTAAAGGTCTGCTCAGATGCGAGACGAGCATTGCATCCAATACCAGACGAACACAGGTGGGTTGGGTTACCCGTAACGGCAGAGATCCCAACAGAGAGGCGGTTTCATAAAGGGCAGCGAGAGACGATGTATCTGGTGTTAAGTCATTTCCTTCCGCCTCCCCTTTCGGCACACTATCCCATCTATCCTGAACTGCCTTAACTTCTGTCAGTTTACCATTCCTCCTATTCTAAGCCCGCGCTCCTTCGGCCCCAAACACAAATACCTCCCACAGAGTCCGTCCCTCCCGCTCCTCACCCGGCTCCTCGACCGGCTGAGCGGCCTCCTCGTGCGGCCCGTCGCCGGCTCCTCCCTCGGCCACATCCATGGGCAGCACCTCCTCGCCCTCGTCCTCGGCCATCGGGTCGTCCTCGTCCTCGTCCTCGCCGGTGTCCTCGCGCCGCACCACCGGCGTGGTGGCGTCCTCACCAATCGACGGCTGAGGAGCGGCAGAGACGCGTCAGTGATACGAAAGAGCGAGATCTTCAGATAGACAAAGGAACATGTGAGACAGAAGGCTAGAGAGGGCCGTCTGGATTATCTAGATGGTGTGCGAAAAGGACAGCGAGTCATCCCACTGAGCCAAAGATCCGTGCGGAGATTCGCTGTCGAGTGTACTCTCTGCAGAGGCGGCGCAGCTGCTGGTGCGGCTGGTGGTTGAAAGGTGTGGTCAGACAGGGGGAGGGGTAGGAGTCAGGACCGGGGGAGTGCTCAGACAGGGAGACGGGTAGGAGTCAGGACCGGGGGGAGTGGTCAGACAGGGACGGGTTAGGAGTCAGGACCGGGCGTGTGGTCAGACAGGGGGAGGGTAGGAGTCAGGACCGGGGGGAGTGGTCAGACGAGGTGGTCGAAGCTCTACGGACTGGCGGCGGATGCGTCACTGGCAGACTACGGACAGGAGGCGGAAGAGCTGGCGGCTCAGAGCAGATCAACCACCGCGGCCGGCGGACGGATCTCACCTCAACCACCGGAGTCGAGGCCGGCTGGCGGCGGCCGGTCGCCGGCGACTTGGTCTGGCCCTCGTCAGCGTCGGCGAAGCGTTTCGGTTTGATCTTGCGCCCGCTGCGACTGAGGACGGGCTCGGCGGCGGGCGCGGCGGACGTGGCGCCCGGCCCATCGCCACTGTCCACCCGACGTCGCTTACCGGCCGTCGACTCCAGCTGCCGCCGCACACAGACACACACACCGCGTCACGTCCGACTGTTCTCTTAGCAACATATAAAACAGATAAGTAGAACTTCCAGACAAGAACATGGATGCGAAATACCATCCATGAAATCTATGTCATCAGCATCGTGACCGAGATTTTAATGTGTACATCACTGCTGAATGCTGATCTCGTAGACACGTTTCCTGCCTATTTCTACATAAGCATCATATAAAACACAAACGCTGTTTACAATGGCAATAATGTTACACCAGTTTAACAGTCGCGTCATATTCTAATCGTACAATACCCTCAGTTGAGCGATGAGGAATAAATAACGAAGTCGACAATGAAAGCATGAAAAGGAACTAAATGAACGAGGAATGAACAGGTTATGGATGTTTGTTTCAACACAACTTCTATCCGGAGATCAGGCGTACATGGAATACACAAACACGACTGAGCGTGAACTGTGAAGCACAAAGGCAAACAAGGCACAAGCACATGTGCATACGTTTCCAATATTGCTTTAAAGAAGTGACACTTATTTTTCATTGCAAAAAGTCCAATTAAAAAAAAAAAACAGTCACTGGCGTCGTTGTTCATCCGGGATCTATCAAGCATGCACCAACTGTATCACATTTACCAAGATGCATGAGCGATAGATCACTGCACACCGGTATGCTGTGGTATGTATATGAGATGGTATTCTAATTAAACAAATTTGCATTACAACAGATTTGTGGCGAATTTCAGTGCTAACATCCGCTTGCAATGTATGTACATGCGTTGTGCTCAAGTAACTGGGGTAACAATTACCTAGCCACTTTTAAAATGATGAGTAAAAAAAGACTGAGCATTGTTTAGGTGTACCATAGACCTCTGTATACAGTGGTCTATGGGTGTACCTAAACTTATCTATGTCAGCTTGCCACGGCAAACGCAGTGACTTATGAAAATGCTTAGACATCACGCCATTATAAAGCTCGGAATAAAAGCATGTGCACGCCGCACGGTTGACTACAGAACGATGTTCCACTTTCCACAGGCAATCAACTGCCTGGAGTGGTAGGCTGTGTCGCATCACACGGGCTGAGTGACTTTTTAATTTTGTAACCAAACGTTCACCATAGACACGCTTCACTGGGTGATAAGTGGCACAACTTAGCGTTCCAGTCAACTGATTTCGAGTTTCTGGGGAGTGCAACATCATCTTTCTAAAGTCAACTGTACTGTGTACTGTGTAGTGTGTAATGGGCGGGAGGCTAGGGGGGACAGCGGACTGTTTGAGACTCCAGTCTCACGTGCATTCTGCCTGGAATTGGTCAATCAGCAATGGCAGAGCCATCTAGCACTACAGCGGTGCACTACAGGGACTACAGCACTAGCAAAAAAGGACGATGGCAGGTCCATCTTGTGGGCAAGGGCCAAAACAGCAGCAACATTATAACACCGCCACTTATCGGTACGGCCATTCTGTCAACGACGTCATACTGAGGGCTGTTCACAGGCCCTGTGTGCGGTCGGACCGTACACAGGCTGTAAGCTCCGCGTACTGCGTCCCTACGTCATCCTCCCGTCACCGCACACAGCGACCGCTGTGGCCGGTCGGGACCGGCCACAGGGGACCGTCCACCGCACGCAGCCGTGACGTCAGAACAGCCTACCCATCCTCTACCCCTACGCCTGCTGCACACACCACACACACCGCAGTCAGCAGTTTGCGTTGCCCGTGAACACCCCTCTGGTTATCGCTTATACGACACGCGTGCAGACTTGACACACGCTGGGAGTAGAACTAAACACTCAAAACATCCAAAGCTAAGGAGGGATAACTCATCAAAACCGTCACGGAGAAACTCGTAAGAAACATGATCTAGGACTAACGACATCAGCTCATTGGCGGGGCACCTACCGGCGTCGAGGCGTCCTCCTTGCGTTTCTTGCCGCGGCCGCGACCCTTGGGCGTTCCTCCGGGGAGGGTGGCGGCCGCGGGACGGGGCGTGGCTGCAGTCGTGGCCGGCGGGGGCACGACCGTCACCTGGGCGGGCACGGTGCACGGTCAGAATGAGCGGCAGCCCGTGAGGGCACTGCGGACACCTGGGCGGGCACGGGGCACGGTTAGTGGGGCGGCAGCCGGCTGAGGGCACTGCGGACACCTGGGCGGGCACGGGGCACAGTCAGTGTGAGCGGCAGCCGGCTGAGGGCACTGCGGACACCTGGGCGGGCACGGGGCACAGTCAGAGTGAGCGGCAGCCCGTGAGGGCACCACGGACACCTGGGCGGGCACGGGGCACGGGGCACAGTCAGTGCGAGCGGCAGCCCGTGAGGGCACCACGGATACCTGGGCGGGCACGGGGCACAGTTAGTGGGGGCGGCAATCCGTGAGGGCAATGCAGCTGATACCTGGCGGGCACGGGGCACGGTCAGAGTGAGCGGCAGCCGGCAGGGTCGGTACTGGCGAACGGAGCGTGGGAGCGTCGGCTGCCGCAAATGACGTTCGGGTGGGTGCATGATCAGACGACAGCCGCACCCGGGGATTTTAGGGGAGGTCAGAGAGGGGACGAAGTGGCACAAGCCAAACGTAGCGCAGAAGCATGGTCTGCATGGCCTGTCGTGGTGTGGCTGCAACTTCATAAGAGGGTATCCTTTATATGGTTATTCAACGAACAACACAGGAAAACCAAACCCAGCGCAATCAGTCCAATATATATACCAGTACCAACAGAGAAGCATATGAACGAAAGCCTCACATAAAAACGATCGACTCACATCCATATCCGGCGAGCTCTCGATCTCCTGCATTGCCTCCAGAAAGCCCTTCCTCTTCACATTCACGTTACCGAACTTCTCTTTGGTCTTTTCATTGTACGCGAACAGATCTTCCACTTTGACGGTAGCGCTACAAAGATAGCATGTCATTAGACAAGCATATGTGCATCAGTGAACTTTCGTCATAAATATCATGCAAAGTAAAAGGTAAAACATTGACATTAAGCAGCATATTTTGCCAAAATATTGTCAGGGAACTCAGATTTGTTTTCAATAGAAAAACAATTCTAGCGAATAGTGTTTTAACTATTGACAACAGACCATCGGTTATGCCTACGTCTTTCTGGTTCCACGGCACATACCATGCGACATACCACAAAAATGACAGAAGAAAAATGGCACTCACACTTCGTATGTTCCAAAGAAGAATACTGAATACTTCTTGGGCTTCTTTGAATCATCCAGTGGAGCCGTGACCTGTGGAAAAGCGCGGTCATACTATTACTCCTCTGCTTCTTACCTTGTCGCTGGCTGAATAAAAATCACAGTAATGCAGGCAACAGTTGTAAAGGGCGCAGGCTATCACTGCGATACCAATGGTAGCAAAAGTGCATCCTATTGAATATCCTTCCTTTATCAATTATTTCCTTCGACAAACTACCAGCAAAATCCAAAGAATGATGGGATAGTATTTGAATCGTAACTTTCTCGTCGAAGAAAAGCATTAAAAGAAAATTACGTCAACAGCCTTTTGAAGAATTTATTACCTTGGCAGGCCACGCGGGGTAGCCCCTGATCTTGGCAAAAACCAGCGCATTCGGCTCGAAGACGTCGCCCTTCATGTTGGAGCGCTGATAACCTGAAACGGGAGCAAATATACAACTGGATAAAGCAAAGCAGCGTTACGCCAGACAGCGGCATCAACATGCAATAGGTTTTAAAGCTTGATTGAGGACTGAGGGGAGACATACATTGGATGGCATGGTTCAACAGACCGCACTTTTACACAAATTCAGCTCTCGATGTGATGGGTCTTTATTCGCCGCTCTTTTCCATCGATGCACAGAAACAGGGCCGCTAAGCAGTAAGCTCAAACATTTCGGGTATAGTTTAGTGTTGAAAATCACATTGCGAATAACAAAAAGTAAGAAGCCTTTCTTTCGGACAACGAGCGAGCGAGTGAGCGCCATTGTGAGTAGGTTCTGCACGCGCGGGTGTGCTATGTGCGGGCCGTGGACCCGGTGCGGGTCACCCATAAGGCCGATCCCCAACTGAGTACTGACTTCGAGGACAGTCGGTGCAATCGTGCCTGAGCAAAACAAATGGCACGAAATGGCAAAATGGCCCGTTTAATACTATCAGAATCATAAGTCGTGGTTGGGGTGGTGCTGTCACAGTCCGTGACTCATGTAAAATCAAATGCATCACCTAGTGGGTGCCGAACGATAGGCAAAGCTCGGGGTGACCGGTTCGTCGTTGCGGAGTGAGAGAAACTATTTGGAGACTCAATAATTGTGGTGCATTCCTTCCTATTGGCGTTCCTTCGCTCTACTCTGTTTTTTCGTCTACAAGATTTGCTATCACGTCTACCACCAGACAGCAAAGCGTGGCACGTGCGCGCCCGAGGTACGGTTCTCCAGTAAAAGTCTTGTTGGTTTTGCTTTTTCGGACATATCTGGTCCTTTATAATGTTCAAATGCATAACTATCAACCCAAATTATGTGTATGCACATTTACCACGAGACTGTGAAATTGCATCGTTGTATGCCAAATACTTTCCGAGATATTCACCAAAAACCTCATTTTCTGCCGTTTGGGGTATTCTGGCCGCAATCTTCCTGGGATCGCCTATGACATCAGTAGAGCCATCTAACGAGAGGAACGTTGAAACACAGAATCATGAATGAATCGAGTGCGTAGTAAACGGTGTATGAAAGGGAGACTCGGCAGAGGCTATCCGGGTGGCCGGCGCGCGGCGCGCCCTTAGGCATCGGCCGACTCTTCGGACCGCGTGGGGTCAGGGGTCGCGCTGGGGAAGTCTCGGCTCTGGGTTTTAGCGCTGTGCAGTCAGGAAGGGAGCATAGGATAGCGCTAGCCCGACTGACTAGTATCTCGGCTGATTCATGTGGGGTGGAAGGGGGCACAGAACGGGATGGTGGCTAGTGGTGGATGATGGGATGGTGGTTAGGTTAGTGCGTACTGCGTAGAACGTAGCTGAACATGCATTGTTTTTTCATGGCAAACAACATGCAGCATAATGTGCGGGATTATGCCAGAACTCATACAAAAAGGAAATAATATTTCGGCCGAGGGAGTGGATGAGTGCCGTGACAAAGCATGACGATGCTGCCAAAATCGGGATGCTTTTTTGCCCCCATTTTTTTTACCCCTAACATGCAGCGCTTGATCCGAACTTAGAGGTCCCCGACTGACCTTAGACCTTAAAGGTAGTGTGCCAGCTTTCTTGGACCGTATGGAGTTAATGGCCCAGATAAGGAGAACCGGATTTTTAGAACTTATCCATACCTTCAAAACTCATGGAAACGTCTTAAATTCTTCAAATTTTGAGTACCCCAGTGCGAAATTCGCCCCGACGGGTTGTCGGTCGTACCCCAACCACATTTCACACCACTATGAACAATAAATGCACACACTGAAATCGCTATTACCGATATGCTCATCCAATCAAGTTTCGATAAACCCGTTCATCATCATCTCCTGCGGTTTCGAACACGCCTGTTAGGTGGCTTCTGATGCTCGTCGAGGTCGGAATTTCCAAATACGCGTGGTGCGTCGGGCCGCGCGCTCTGACTTCGGCCAAGAAAAATGCGTCAGCTGATCATTGTCATTTCTGCCACTTGCGTGTGGTGAAATGGGGTCATAACTTATAAGACGGCTTTTTCATATCAATTATTTTACATAAAATCATATTTCAAACCATAAATAATGTTCGACAGCCAAATAAAAGAAACAATACCAATACGGGCTTACAGTTTAAGGCTCGACATTGTGTTGTCTACGATTAGACAGCTGATAACTCATTCCCGTACGTCGTATGGTCGTAACACTATAATGACCTTTGCTTATTGTCACAAGTGCGCCGCATTCGCGATTGTTGCCCGACGCCTGTTTGCAGGTGAGCCCACTACAGTTGTTATACATATCTAAAAACCGAAAAACTTTTAGGCGAAAAAGGCACTATTCCAGGCCCATTTTTGATTTTTTTTTTGCGATATTAGGTAAAAACAGAAGCTTCTTATCCTAGGAAAAATAAAATGGGAAATCTTTCAAAGGTGGCACACTACCTTTAATTAAAATCGCACCCGTCTGATGCGCCACCTTTTCTTCAGGGGCGCTCTTGGTTGTATCTGTTCTTACCAATAACTAAAGCAAATCGAATGTATAATAAAAAAGGCATACCTCAAACACAGTTTTATTCACATCCCCTCGTGTGCATACTTGTTTTGATCTATACCTTCTCGCATCATAATATCACTTCAGTGCTTAACCCTCAACGGAATCGTGGGTTTTCTGCATATACCCCGGCCGAGAGGGGGGGGGGGGGGGGCGATTACGACCCCTCTCAGTCTTTTTGCCCCTAATTGAGCTATCGCCTTGCAGATAAAACTAAGCGCGTGCGTCGTATGAGATGCAGCAACTGGTACCCGAGTTGAATGTCTCAGGTCAACCGATAAACTCTGAGGTCAGTATAAGTGCTGGCCAAGTCGCGGGATCGGTTTTTGGTAAACAACTTTACCATAAGTGGTTACAGAGCCAAGACAATGGCACCATCGAGTTTTGCATGCTCAAGCGCGTCGAATAGTATACGCTTTGTTTTTGTTGAGGTCAATTTAAGGTGTTCACCTCAGGTCATGTCAGGGCAGAGCCACTCAGGCCACGAGGCTGGCTCAAGGAGGTCATATCGCTTCTTCGATTCGATAGGTCCTCACAAGTCCACTGGTGGCTTCACGACTCGCATAGCTCAATTTGATCGGGACTTTTTGGTGAAAACTCCTGTGACCTTAGTGACGTCATAAATGAAGTCGCCTAACTTTGAGAATGGAAAAGTGAATGCTGGGGCTTGCAAAGACTGTATAAAATCGCGAATTAATGCGCTTGAGACAGCTTTAGATGGCTCGCGGCGCCAAAATAACAGCTTTCATATTTCCCAATTGATTAATAAACGTGAGGTTGCGTGACCGACCTGACTTCAGGTGACTTAAGAAAAATACGAGATAGCTACATACAAGTTGTGAGGCCTCTGGGAGATATTACTAGATCATACATATAAGCTTCATTCCCCGTTGAAAAGTCCCCTGGCACGAAGGGTGCTGCGACGTCGCGACATTTTGGGACCTTACAGAGGTTCACTTTTGACGTCATTGGTCAACGGCCTGACCTTAAAGGGACCCTCCCACCTTAACATTAGATTTGAGTTGAGATAGCCAAAATGGGGTCCCTGGCTCACAATTACCGGTTTCGGCACTCGCAACATCGAGAAATGCCTTAAATCGGAAATATTGAATTTCAAAATTGCAGCATTTTGATTCAGAGGGGCTAATGCTTAGGAATACCCCTCTGAATGTGTGACGTCAGCGCAAATATCTAACGATTTTTAAATGTTTGACTAAAACGTTTTGTAGCACGCGGTGGTATATGCTATTTGCGCGCAACATCTGCCGCAAACGCCGCACTTCTAAAATAAAGTCGCTAGAAACAGCGGAGATCCCAAAAAAGTAAACAAAAGTAAAAGTCTAATATCTTGAAAACCGGTGAATATTTTTCGGTGAAATTTGGTAGATATCTGTTTTCGCTCTTTCTGAACCGAGCGACATCACTTTCATGCCAATTCATAAACTTTTTTGAAGGTGGGAGGGTCCCTTTAACCTTCGCACTTGTAGGAGGGTGTCGAACAGACCTCGTACCCTCAGTTTTTCGCAAATAACTCGCGTAAAAAGCGGCTGATTGCGACGAAACTTTCAGTACCCTCGAGTCAATCAATATTACGCCTACCCTATAATTTGTATGATCCTGGCTCAAAAGACCTTTGACTTGTGACCTGTTTTCCGAGACCATGTTTGGCCGGAATCGCGTTTTGGCGTATTTCGAGTAGAGCGCGTTTTATTGTCTTTTTGTGGCTTTAAGCGATCAAACATGTGAAAGGATGTTGATCCCATGGATGCTAGTGGGTATCAAGGTCACGTGAAGGTCAGTCAGGTCACTGACCTTTGATGACTTTTGTTCACTCTTTCGAGTTTTACATGTTTCTAGGGTAGATTTTGGAGTTGATTTCGCATTTAGAAACCGTTTGTAACAGGTCCCGATTCCCCGACTTTTGAGTTTGACCTGTCAACTTTGACAACTTTGTCAACTTAGACTTTTGACCTGTCAACCAATGACCTAGGATAGGACCTTAAAATTGGGTATCATCGGCCTCCTCTCGTCACGGGCAACACGCTCTTTTTCCGCGAAGCGCTAGCTTGATCAGGGGTTGAACGGCAAAGGGGTCCAACGGACCCTCCTCCCCCTTTACGATAGACGCTGGGAAAACACCAATATGGGCGAGGATGAAAATACAGCTGCTGTCATAAAAATGCAGCTTGAATCAAAGGTCAGGCTTGCCAAATTTCAGCTCTCGCAGCTATCAATAAAAATAAACATGTGGAGGCGGCACCCGCCACCCCACATCCGCCTCCCCCCCTCTCGGCCACTCCCAGCGAGGTTTTAAGCGTATCGTATCATACACGTTACAAAGCATCATATCAAGATGACACACCCCAGCAGCCATATGCACTGAACAAAAACTTATTACGCACGCTAGTCTATCGGCACCATAGCACATGGTCGAGACTGTCGTCA